CGGTAATATGAAAATATCAATTTGAATAAAATACAATTTCTAATTTTCCTATATTATATTAGTGCCATTAGCACCTGTGGAAATCAATTCGATGAACGCTGAATTTACTAATGAAGCACATATGAAGATACTGGCAGCATTGGAATTGAAAAATTCACGGTTTGCTGACTTTAACACATTCGAATGGCAAGACTTTGTGTTGAACGAACTTTTGCTAGAGGCATTGGAACCATTTAAAAAACCATCAAAAACTCAAGTTGGTATTAAATGTGATTTAAAATTTACGGTTATATTCCATTGGAAAATTTTCTTTATAGCAAATTGCGTTACCACTGCTTCTACATGTCAGCGGTAATTTGCTATTTCAAGCACCTCCCGGAACAGGGAAAACAGTGGCTCTAATTGTTGCAGCTATTTTACACATTGATGACAGCAATGCGAATCTTCAAGCAGTGATAATATGTGCCACGGTTGAAGCGGTGGAACATACATTTGAATACGTTCAATTTATGACTCGAAATGCACCAATTCGATTGTGCAAAGCCCATCATTATCACAACGGCCCGATAGATGGACAAATTTTAATTGGAACGTGTCTTGAAAGCAATCGACTTATAATTGAAGAAAAAGTATCACTTGATTTCGTAACATTTGTTGGTTATGACGACGCAGACTTAACGACACAATTCAATACGCTCATTGATTTTGGTACTGCGAAAAACGTTTTTATTTCAACCATATTTGTAGATAATATGATTAAAAAGGCACCTACACCCTTGGATATGTATCGCGTACCATATAATCAAGTACTGAACGATGTGAATATACGTCACTTTTGGGTTTCTTGTGACAATAATCGTCGATTTCATTATCTCAAACAAATGATTGATAAACTTCAACGAGAACGTATCGTGATTTTTTGCAAGGTAACATTCTATTAGAAAATATTCAATTTGAAAATATTCGATCAGATTAATTGCTTGCATATCTGTTTTATTTATTAATTTTTTTTATATTAAAATTTAATGTTTAGCAAAAAGCAACTGTTTCGTGGTTGTCCCGCAAATTGAAAGGTAATGCTGTAGCTATTACTGGTGATATGAATATTGAGTTACGATCAAAATCAATGGATTTGTTTAAAATGAACACAAAACAAGTCTTGATCACCACAAATTTATGTGCTAGATGCGTTGAATTAAATTGTAATATCGTGATCAATTTCGATGTACCTGAAATCGACGATATTCTGGACACAAAATCATATTTGCATCGAGTTGGAAGAACTGGGCGCTTCAACAAGAATGGTGTGGCCGTATCTTTTGTCGAACCAAAATTTATTGATTTTGTTCGTATGGTGCGTACACAATATCACATTCATTTCGATCAACTGTAGAGCATTTATAGACGCACGAGGTAATAGAATTCATATGAAATGAAATATTACTTTTGGGTTATTGTGATACTCATTTAACTATACATTATTATTGACATAAATAAACAAAATTAAAGATAGTTTATCATTTAAAAAAATGTTGTTTAAATTGCACTTATCCTTGACATCGATCTCATCACTATTAAAAAAACGTTGAATTTTAAAACACAGAAAAAAGTCATGAAAACTATTCATACATTTATTGATGATAGACTGTTTCTCATTATAATAAGATTATTGACATTTTCAGGTAAAATCATTGACCTCTTATCTGTGATAATATTGCCACTTGTACTAAAATTACGCTCTGAGCTAGCAGATGAAGCTGGCACGCATGAATACTTGACAAATAATTTAAGTAAATTTGGATACATTTTTGAATGTTGGCACCAAAACTGCTTAACATCGACAATGGATGTTATTATACAAGCTCTTCTAACATCAATGGCTCAGTGTCTGGTTCATCAAATGATATAAAATTATCTAAAAAACTAGTTTTATCTAGTGGATTGGAAATATTAACATTAGAATTTTCTATACCAGCTCCATCATTTCCACCAGTTGGTGCACACGTCGGAAAATTGTTTATCTCATTTTCAATTTTCTCAATCAATTCAGATCGTTCTGTTAAATTAATAATAGACAATTTTTTCATATTTGGATTTAAGAAAGTCATTACTCTATGTCCAAATTCTGGCGCAAAATCATTCTTGTTCTTATCAATATAATTTCGTCCAATCTCTTTCATTTTTGAAATCGTGTTGTATGATATGCCATCGATATCATACATTGGATAATCGTTATTTTCTGCTAGTAATCCAAACAATTTTAAATAAGTTGGCCAAATCATATGTAACGTAACATATTTGTCTCCTTCCAATTTGTCACTAATAACCTATCGATTCGAATATTTACAATTTGTACATTAACAAAACATTCATTGTTAAATAAATTAGCTAAGTTACCTTGAAATTTTCGAGAAAATTCTTAATTCGAATAAGTTCGCTTTTGTTTAATACCGTGATTAGTTTCGATATTTTGTCATCGAGTTGCTCGCTTTGCTTTAGTCTAATTTCATTTTGAAGTCTTTGTTTGTTCATCAATAGATCGTAGAGAGTTTGATAATTGTCAATAATTGCCATGATCATTATGTAGACACTGTTCCATCGAGTTTTGTGTTTAATTGTGTATTCATTCCACTATTTTTAATATGCGACGATAATTCTGTGGCTTGTGTGATAATGGTTTTTATTCGCTCCTCTTCCATCATTTTCGACACTAAATTATGTATTAAATGGGCATAGCAAGTAATTCTTCGAAACCCGGCATTTATTAGGCCATATTTAATGTTTGATCCACGGTCTGATATAAATATTACGTGCTGTTTTACTTCTTCTTCGGTAATATTATACTCTTTGAAACATTCCAAAATGTGGTCAATAAGCACCGTACCTGTTTGAATTTACAGTAGTTTTGAATTGTAAATGTAATGAAAATTAACAATGTTATATATGCAAATTGCCATTTTCTACTCATAATTTAATTAGTATTGTAATTACCTGTCTTCACTATTTCTTTCACTTCAGTAGTAGTCAAAACAAAACGATAGTACTTAAGATCATCTTTTTCCGGAAGACATATGTGGGCTACAATTGTCAAATAAGTCGAATGACGATAATCGTCTGTCCAACAGTCAGTCGTTGCAGCTATACCGCCCGATAAAATTGCCATTTTAAGAATTTCACTAATTTTGTTTCGAGTTTTATCTGCTATTTCAGCTACCGCAGATCTCACAGTATTCCGAGAAGGCATTGCATCAATAAAATCCTGTTTGCTTGCTTTTCGATTACTTTGACCGAAGTGCATGCAAGCATAACAAAGCTCTAATAAACCTTATTTGTAAAAAGGGCAAATGTCATTGAACCATTTAAATTAAGAATATCAAAATTTGAAATAATTCATTGAATACCTGGACACTGCACAGCATAAAATGGACGTAAGTCCATTGAGACGAATTTTGCCGCAGCAATTTTTAAATTTTCTTTATCTGATCTTTTGATAAATAATGTTTTGTTATCGTCAACGGTCGCATAACATACGTGTCGTAATAGTTTATTTGTGTTCCCTTGTTCATATGGATTATAGACCACATCGTTGCACTCGGTACAATAGAAAAAAGACTCGATTTTTTGTTTTGTAGTACCATTAGTGTAAATCTCACTGAAAAGGTTCCATACTGCGGATATTTTTCGTCCATTTTTATTTATTTTCTTTTGATAAATGATTGTGCCATTTTTTATTCCATTTTGAATTTCGGAAAATTTTTCCTCTGGAAAAATAAATGGATGTAATATGTATATGTTTAAAAATCGAGAAAGCAAATGAGATATTAGCAGACAATATATTTAGCTGCCGTCATCTGGATGCCGTCAGCAGATGATGCAAAGTGAAAACAATAGAGGTGATTGTTATAGTAATACCAGTATATACCAAGCTTATATACTTATAAAATCACTTCTATTGTTTTCACTTCGTATCATCTGCTGACGATATCCAGATGAGCTGTAATATCCAGATGACGACAGCTAAATATATTGTCTGGATATTGGTATGGGTTGTAGTGTGTGTGTGTGTGTGAGAGAGTCAATAAAAAAATTATTTAAATTGATATTTTCATTTGCTTTCGTAATAAGACCTAAATTTCAATATCCGATCGTAATTGTCTGATACATACGTAATTCATCAAACGATAGGCTAATAGTTCGTTTTTTTTTTGAATTTGCTTCACGTTCAGTATATGTTGGATTATTATTCAAATCGGTGGGTGTTTGAATAAGTTGTATGTTTTCGTTCATATTTGATAATGGTACAGTGTCATCATTTGCAAGCGCTTTATGAAAAGAATACAATTTGTGAATAAAAAAACTTTATATTTTTAATTTAAAATATACCTGTACCATGCACCAAAGTCGGAAAATTGTGCATGCCAATGGCATTTGCACCGTTAGCTACGTTAGTATCGTTATTCTCAGTGTGGCTTTTCACATATGTTGATTTTATACGATTTTTTCGTTTTGGCAATGAATTAATTTTCTTCAATTTATTTCTCTTTTGGCTTTGCCCGGTGCTTGTACTCGGAATTAATATGTCTATGTCCGATGACATATTTAATTCATTAAGTTCCATTCGATCGCATGTTTACCTTATCTGATAATATTAATACTTTTAATTTAAAAACTTACGAACAAACGAAACACATTTAATAAAATGTACAGTCAAGGTGATACGGTATCTATGCTATGCTAATTTTGCATTTAAACATAAGTCAAATTGACACTTGTACACTCATATAGTGCGCATGTGTGAACGATAGATTACAACACATTTTCATTGGTCAACACTACACTGAATTAAAACGAAACAATTTATCCATTTCAGTATATAATACATGATTTTCTATGAAATCGTTTTTTTATTTGCGTTCATGAAAATATTTTTTTTTTAAGAACAATATGTCATTCATAGATAGTATAGAAAATAGAAAACTTCAATTTAAAATTATGGCATGCGTTTAGTCATATTTAGTGTGAATAGAGCCTCTTTCACCGCCTTATCAAGTGTTGATCTTTTACCAGGTTTAAATTTGTCTATTCCTTGATCAAATGGTGTCAAACTGTTAACAAACATTTTTGCTGTTGTTCTATCCCCGAAAAAGATTACATTTGTCATATTATTGGTGATGCTTTGAATCTGTAAATATTAAAAAAATTACATATATTCAATTTGAGCATTATCAATTTGAATCAAATAATTATAAATGAATAAACTGTGCAGGCCATGCTGGATAGCCTTTCATTTTAGCCCAAACAATTTGATTTGCTTTGAAAATATATTTTCGAACTATTTGGTTATTTTTCTTGTTGGTCTTTGGACCCGGTTTTGTTTCGTATCGAGCTGTAGCTGTACCGCCATCCGTGGTGACTGTATCCTCGGATCGATTAATATCACGTTTCATTCTTTGATTCCGATTGGTTTTGCTTCGACCTTGATCAACGGTGACTGTGTCCGTGAAACGATCAACATCTTGCTCACTTTGATTCCGATTAGTTTGGTTTCGTGCTTGATCTGTGTTGGTTTTTGTAAGGGTGGTTCGATCAGCACTACTTGCTACTTCTTTATTATGTTTCTCTTGTTGGCAATAGAATAACATCATACTGGGATCTCTTCTCAAAACCACCCGAACGTCTTTCATGAGAGGCAGCTATTTCAAAATGAAAATAATAAGTTTTAAAATATTCAATTTGAACATTGATTTGCATATAATCGTTTACCTTTTCGATAGACTCCTTTACATTCTTTTGTGAACGAGTTTTCATTTTATCCACACCGTCAGCTTGTTTGCATTGAATATGTTTTGAACGTGTATTCATTTTGAAATATTCTCAAATATTCTCTAATAAATAAACAACAGCAAAATATTTTATATGAAGTTAATAATATTCACTGAAATATAATTTAAATAAAAAAATCACACACAATCGTTTACTTTATCAGTGCGCTAAGTCATGAGTTCATCTCATTCAACACTTTATCCAAATGTCAAAATATATTGGAATACTGGATTATCCAGTCTGGATAGATGCAGGGTTAGACAAAGAATGTTGAGAAAATGTTGAAGGCACATTTACACATTGTAAGTGACATTTGATAAACTGAACCGAATAGCATACACATATACGTTGCTGAGTTTGAGCAAACGTCATTTGGTATTATGAACTTATGGTGAAATACACTAGACAGAATAAGCGAATCTAATAAACTTAAAAATTATCATTTGCAAAGTGGTATTTAATTCCATTCGAAAAAGAATCATTCCAATAGTTCAGAAAAAGGTAATTCTTCATAATACTAAAATAAAAGCAATCTTTTTTATCTTAATCGGTGTTGTGGAACGGTAATTCTATTGACAGTGACAATGACAATTTATTTTATTCCATTAGACTTTTTTGTTATTTTGAAATACTAAATGTTTTTATTCATTTTTCGCTGTTACCTTTACAGGTCAAAGTAGCAATGGCAGAAGTACAACATCATTCAATTGACACATGTCCTGAACCAAACGTTTTCGTTAAATGTTCGTATTGTTTGGTCATTTCTATCGACGGCAGTGGCCATACAGAAAAATGTCGTTTCAGCAATGAAAAAAGCATTTTGCTTTCCGATATTTATGGTGAACTGCCAATGCCAATGTTTAAAATGCGACTTGAAAATGCAAAAGATACACTGTATGTCTTGAACAAAACATCAGAAATTTTCGAAAAAGCTGGAGAAAATATTCATGCTCATGAAGTCAATGGAATTTTCGAGGTGAAAAAGGTTTTGGGAAAAGAAATCATAACATTTAGTGCGACGTTCTTAAATCGATTTTCAATTGGCGTTGCGTATTATGTGGATGGAGCTTGGCGTTTAAGATATCGAATGGTTGCAACTCACAGTGACGGTTTGATTTGTTTCCCATTGTATACAACATTTGAACACCAGAATGATGCATATCGCATCCCGCCAAAATTCGATATCAACACCGTGCTAATCATTGGCATTGTTCCAGAAGTAGATGTATCGGAGGTTAAAATTCGAGTGTATGGATCAAGTTCAAAGTTCAAGGGCAATTTTTATGATGGATGTGTGAGTTTCGACAAGTTTTGGGATCGTATCGAAATCAGCGATAATTTGAAGCCACGCAGCTATGGAAACACGGTTCGATTCAATCCAAATTTATACAAGAAGTTTTTATTTGATGCTGAAACTCAAAGCACCGCAACGTCATGTTGTGAAATTTGTGTGAACCCCAACCAGATCAGAAATTTTCGCACTGATATTTATGGAAAATTGCCATTGCCAATGTTCAGAATGAGCATGGAAAACTCAAACGATAAATTTTATGTCTTCACCAAAAATTCTTTGAAAATTTGAGAAAATTGAATCAATTATGGTTATTCATGCACACCCAGTGAACGGAATATTTCACATTGACGAAAACAATGTTGATTTTCAAGCCACTTCATTCAAACGGTTTCAAATGAACATCGCATATTTTCGAAATGATACATTTCACACCCAATACAGTATTATCACACACGATGATGGTATCGTTTGCCACCCGCTCCAGCCTTCTTCCATGTTGTATCAGGATACAGTTCTCAATATCGGCATCGTTACATCAACCGAAATCTCAGTTGTGAATGTTGACGCAAATGGCAAAGATATGGGAAAAATTACTTGGAATGGAACTTCGAACAAACTCATCGTTGGTGAAAAAATGATTGCACACAACGCAGATAAAGATGACAATGACAATGCCGCTGGAAACCAATTGGCAATTGATAATAAAGAGCAATTGCGCGAAAATGATGACATGATTGGCGAAGCAATAGTAGATCTCCTGATTTCATTGGCAGTTGGCAACTAATTCACAACAATTTGGTAAAAAGTACAAAGAAAACAAACGAATCAAGTGTTTCATAAGATGTTGATCAACATCACTGCCTTTTTTCAATTTTCATAAATAAAAAGCGTTAATCATATAAGTGTGTGTATTTATTATATCGGCCGCCTTTTGACGATCATTCAAAAAGAATGAAATTACCATGAAAACGACAATGTTTATTTTTTCAAAATTTTCTTAGTCTTTTGTTTTGGAATTTTTCCTTCGTCAATTAATTGATTAATTATTGAAATGATGCGTGGCTGGTCTTCAACTCTCATAAATGGAATGTTATTTAGCATATATGTCATGCTCCCTTTCCCAGCGAGATATTCACGTTGAATGTCACACTGTTCTTCAAAAGAATTTTGGTATTGATCCCGTGCATTTTTTATATCATCATTCGTTGCGGGTTTAATAAAGCATTCCCATTCAGCGCTTCTAGTTGCCTTCGCAAAAAGAAAACTACTTTCATTGCCATTGTCATATGCTTGTCTCTTTTGAACATCAGACAAAACAACGTATGCTTGGTGTAATATGGAAAATTTTTCTTTAGCTATGGGTTTTTCATTGTCAGGAACTCGATCGGGATGATGAATGAGTGCCAATCGGTAGTAGCTTCTTTTCACTGCAAAATTGAATTATTTAGAGATCTTCTGTGCACATTTTCAACGATTAATAATAATGTCAATATTAAATTGAATATACCTTCACTTATTTGTGCATTTGTATCTATTTCCAAAATCTTGTATAGATTTGTTGTACCAAAATGCTGTTGAATATTCATTTTAATTTTACTTTTCTTTGTTTACTGTGTGCTTCCAAACTTGATACAATCGATGTCAATGTCAATGTCAATGTCAAAGCAACTTTTTTTTATTGACGATAAAATTCAAAATGTGCAAAAATCGTCAAAAATATAATAGTATTGCCACTTCGAATTAAGTTCAGTTTAACATTTTGACACTCTGTCATTCTTAAAATATATTCTTTGGATATTGTATGCAAACGGCATTTACCTAAAAATTCAATACTCTTCAGATATTTATATCTTTATATCTTTATATTTGGAATACTAAAAAATAACAAAGTAAATGGAGACGAGAGCAAAGAAGAGACAACCCCAAGAAATATCAACAAAGGACATTGAAAAAAATGTCACGAAAAGAAAAATTGCAAATAGAGAAGACGACAAATTGAAGGTTAAATATTTCTATTATTATTATTATTGATGCAATGGTTCCACTGAAATACATAATTTTTTAGAACACAGGACAAGACACAGGAATTTAAACTATTCCCAAGACAAGGTTACGGCGAAAAATATCGAGCCATATTAAAGATAGATTTAAAAAAGTGAACAACAGAGACAACGAACGTTTTAACGATGACATTGAGAATGTACCATATTCAAAGGTTTTTTAACAATTAAATGTTTGCATAAAATGGCAATATATCACTGCTTGTATATTTTAGGACAAATCAAACGCCGATCAAGTCGAAAAAAGAGCAACGAAACGAATCAGGCGTACATTGATCGCAAAAGTAGATAGTTCATCGCGTATAGTAACAAATTGTGTTGTCCAATTAAATCGCTTAAAAGCAAATCAAATCAATGACATAATCAGAAGCGTTGAGACATCCCGAAATGATCAGAATTCCAATGAAGACAATGTCAATGCCAAAGTTAAGAAAAAGGGTACTACAAAGTCGCCACAACAAAGTAAATTGAACACCAATCAAATCGAAATAAGAGCGATGAAACGGACAAGGCTTGAAATGATCGCAAAGGAAAGTTCAGACATGGTGTCAAGCATTAACTCGTCCAAAAATAAGAAAGATTCCAGCAATTCTAGCAATGTCAACGAAAAAACGCACAATGTACAATGTTTGGATGCATCGAGTTCGACACAAATTGAACTGAAGGTATTCAATTTTTTATTTATTTCAATGTCAATGTTTTCACTGAATTTGTAAAATTGTAGGATCAATGTACCGATTCAACGAAGAGTGATCACGGTGCTAAAAGGAAGCGACACATGCAAATTCGAGGTGTCAAGAGACTTACTATCAAAGAGAAAATAAGGAATGGTGCTCAATGTACAAATTCAATGAACAGTGGTCTAACCAAAACACAGCCAAGAATACATAGAAGAACAGAGAGCTCGAAAACTGATAAATTGATAGTGTCCCAAGGTATTTTCATTGATTTATCATTTGAAGCAGAAATTCCAAATAATGGTGACGAGAAAGAGCTTGCTAATGATGAGCCACTTGAAAAAATGTCTTCGAAAAGCAATGACATTGGATCTGCCCGTTCAAAGAGAATTAGAAATAAATTTCATTGGGTGACACACAGCGATTGGAATGATTTGGATGAGGCCTTAGATTTTCTCGATGTTTAACTAAATGGACGATAAAAAAGACCATAGATTCGAGTGGTCAAACGTACAAAAACAGTAAATAAGTGCTCTTTTGATTCAGTTGAATAATAATATGCCATATGAAATTCATCGAACAATTAGAGGACTTAAACATCTTTCAAATTCGGAGGGAACTGAATTTAGAACTTTTTTGCTGTATCTAGGGATTGTTATTCTAAAAGATTACTTGACGACAGAAATGTATGAACATTTCTTAGCATTATATTGTGCCGTTTCTATATGCTATTGCAATGCATATAAAAAGTACTTTTCATTTGCAAAAAAACTGTTTGACGAATACATAGAAAATTATATACAAATTTATGGTATAGAAGAAATAACAAGCAATGTACATAATTTAAATCATATTACGATTTAGTTATTGTTGGGCTGTTGCCGTTTGTCAATTTTTATTTTAGTTCCGACGTTTCGACATTTGATTGTCTTTATCAAGGGACTGTAAATTAGCAAATAAATTTTTTTTAGTTGAAAACAAATAAATAAATGACTATGTACAGTTTTTTAGAGAATTATTGAAAAGAACAACGCACTTACTGAATATTAATCTGAACGCACTGTATGCAAAAATAATCTATATACAGGGTGGCGCATATAATAGGCTCAGTCTTAGGGAGTGGGAATTTTGAAA